CAACGGGGACCGTGGGACGGTGGGGGGCTTGACAACGGGAGGCTTGACGACCGGAGGCTTGACGACGGGAGGGACGCCGCCGTCGCCCTCACCAGGCTTGGTGGGGGTGATGCAGATGTAGTCGGGCTTGGGCTCGACGTGGTAGTTGCCGCCGCCAATGATGATCTCCACACCGGCGCCGCAGCCCTCGATCTTGGCCGAGATGTCAATCTTGCAGGTGCCGGGGAAGGACTCGACACCACGAGCAGCGAGGATGGGAGCGAGAGACATCTTGTCGGTTGGTTGGGTGAGCGTTGATTAGGTTGGCTGATTAGGCGGGATAGTATGTTCCGAAGAAGGTGAGTCTTGTGTATGAAACGAGTGACTGTTTGTATGTGCGGTAAACGACTGGATGCGAGAAAAAGTTCTTGCTGTGATGAAGCTGATGCTGGATGAGGAGAGAGGAAAAGTCTGCTGACGACAGGATGGGATGGATGGTATTTTATAAGAAATCCGATGTGACGATCGCCTGCCTGCAACTTCACATGTGTGTTTCCCCTCCATGCGTCGCCTCTTCCCATGCTGCTCTCAACGTGACTCGGATGCCATGCCGCCCCTGAGGCTCCTGCGCAGGTCTCAGAAGACAATCTGGCAAGCTTAGGTGAACCATCAGGCCTTCCGTCCCAACGCCCTGCGCCGAAACAGAAACCTTCCTCCCTTCTCACCAGAAAAGGGGGGACGGGGGGCCACGATGTCTCTCGTCATGATCTCCCGGCATACGACTTTCACGAGAGCCGCCCACCCGTCCGCCGCCTCGACGGAGCCTTGAAGCCCCGCAGCGCAGGGCCCAAGAGCACTGGGCGCAAACAGGCAAGGCAAGGCCGTTCACGACAGAAGGAAAGACGCCATGCCAATAACCCAACAGAGTGTGTCATTACGAGCCCCAATCTTGAAAACCAACCCACCAAAATCACACCAATTAAGCATATCGAGCCACTCCAGACGTCCCCTTTCGTCCTCACAAGGCCCCCCAGGCGATAAACCCCACCAAGCCACATTCGGAATATCTCTCTCTCTCTCTCTCTCTCTCTCTCTCTCTCTCTCACGGACTGCCGATCAAGGGGTGGAACCCTCTCAACGCCGGCACTTCTCAGCCCAGACGCAAAGCCCGGCCCACCGCAACGCCCGTGCAAGACAGTTGACAGATACCGACCGCCGGGGCCTCTCAGCCACAGACATGCACGTATCGCTTCGCCTCGGCAGTGAGAGGCCCCTGGTCAGGTCCGCCTGCTGCTGGTGGCTATTCTGGCGGTCGCCTCCCTTGGCTCGACGAGTGTCAGGCCAATGGAGAGAGGACATCAAAAGGAGAAGAAGAAAAAAAAAAGCAAAATAGATGACCCGCCGTATCATCAACCGTCAACACGGGACAGACAGCGACGTTCGCCCATGCAGGGGACCTGACTCGGCGCCGTGAGACATAGGGCCAGAGAGCCTCCTCCTATATTTTTCCTAGCGTGCTTTCAGCCCAGGGAGGGAAAAGAAGAGGGACTAGTTCGGTCTGTGCTGCCTCCCCTGGCCCCATTCCCGGCCTGGCGCCGAAGATCCCGGACGGCCGGACAAAGCTACCGGAGTCCGGGGGTCCCCTCAGAACTGGGGCCTGCCCCCCGTCGTCATCACGTTACGTAGAAGGCGAGCGTCACGCGAACCTCGCAATATCAGCGCGCAATCGAAACCAGAAACTCTCCACTCATCGTCCTGCCGATTGCAATTCCCCCCCTTCTCGATCGGATCGTAGGAAATTTGATGTGGTATTCCCCCCGCGTGTCCGAGGCAAGAAAGGAGAGAGAGGGAGAGAGAGAAAAGAAAGAAGGAAGAAAAATACAAATCGAGAGATTGTTCATCCGCCGTTCGGCCCCGACCCTCATCAAATTGCAGACCCAAAACTGCAGACCCAAAACCCTGTCTCACCCGCTCGACCCAAGACCGCTCAAGACCCCATCAAGTAGAGCGTCCCATGAACCGACCAAACCCCTCCGACGCCCTTGCATCGGCCATGTCTCTGCTGTCAGGGGCGGCCATTTTGTGGGGAAACAACGCGCACGAACACAACGCGAGCAGGGCGTGAACACAGAGGGCAGGGCCCGCCTGGACAAAGCAACGACTGGGGGGGGAGGGGGGGTCGAAAGGGAGGGCCAGCACGCGCGTGTGTGCTCAGACAGACAGACGGATGGGCACACGCACTCTCGTGTCGGTCGTCGGGCATCCATAACATTGTAAATGCCCCCATGCATGCATGTGCAGCAGGCAAAAGTCTCACATCTCTTTAAGACACAGAGGCTGCCGGACCTGTCTCTCTCTCACTCACTCTTGTACACCCACCGGACCAGACAAGTGGCTGGGCGCTGTCAATCGGTCCGCTTTTAGGCACCGTGCCCCTGAGGTCCCTCAGCTCAGGCACTCTTGGCTTGCAACAGCCCAATCTCACATGACAACATCAGCCGGCGCGTACACGGAACAAGCAAACATGGAAGAAATGGAATCTGTTTCCTAAGTTACCATAACTCCTCGCGATGGATGCATAGTCCCAGGCGACCTCGCCACTGCTCGACCGCAGCATGAGCCGACGAAGCTCGGCTTAATCTTAGTGCTAGAGTGGAAATCGATAAGCGGCGCGAAAAGGAGAAGAAACGACAAACGAATGACCAGCAGGAAATAGCAAAACAAGAAACCGCTCCATGACCACGTAGTTTGTGCACCCTGATTCATCCCACCGCCGTAGTGCGTTGCCCGTCGAGCCTAGAGTTGCGCAATATCCTCCTGGACCTGTTGTTGATGAGACACTGCTGATCTTGACCAACGTAGGCTGCCTCACACCGAACCACACCTCTCCGAACGCCCACAAATCTAGATTGATTCGTATCCTCCCCATCTAGGCTTGCTCTGCATATCTCTTCACCGTCACGGCCTTCGACTTGACCTAGGAGGCTTATCTCTGTGAACGGGATCGAACAATCTATGCTCCGGTAACCTCAGCCAGAGGATGCTTCGACGGCGTCCGAGCAATGTCGCGCCGTCGAGGTTCAACTCGAAAGCGCCCTTCTGTCGGTTGCGATCCCGCACCTGCTGGCGAGCAGCCGCGTCACAGCCGGCGAGTGCTGGCCGTATCCCTTCTCGGTCGGAGCGTGCCTCTCACGCTCGC